GTGCTGCGGGCCCGAGAGCTTGGACGCCGGCATGCGGCGCGCCGCGTGCCACTGGTGGTACAGCACGCGCCACGGGACGGGCGCGGCGGCCAGCAGGCGGCGCGAGCGCGCGACGCGCGGCGATACGCGGAAGCGACGCTGCGCGAGCGCGCGCCACAGCGTCTGGTCGTCCCACACCGCCGCGGAGAGCCGCTGGCACGTCTGCGAGAGCGAGAGCAGCGCGGGCAGGTCGACGTGGTGCAGCAGCAGGTGCCGGAGGAGGTCCGGCGGCAGCGAGGAGAGGGAGAGCGGCGCGGGGGCGGCGGCGGTGCTCATCGTCACGGTGGAAGGGGGAGGTTGAGCTGGAGGCGGGATGTTGGAGGCGGGAGGGAGGAGGCGGGACGGAGGAGGCGGGACGGAGGAGTACGTCCAACGGATACGTGGGCGGCGGTGAGAGGCACGAGAGAGGCGACGGGGCAGGGGGCCCTGCAGTGTAGTTTTTCGGTTATTTCGTTTCTTATGGTTTCATGTCCATCTCGCTCTCTGCTCTCCCTACGCTTTCTAAGTCTTAAACATTTACTAAAGTTACTTGTCTCCCTAGCACACCACCGCCTCCTCCTTCGCCACCTGCGCCGCATCAAAGCCGCCGCGCACGATCTTGGAGAACGGCTGCCGACACACGGGGCACACGCCGCGCACGCGCTTCGCGCACAACCGGCAGCACACCGAGTGCCCGCACCACAGGAACATGGTGTCGGTGGGCGCGTCCAGGCACACCACGCAGCGGTCCGCGTCGGCGCCGCGCTCGCGCCCGAGCTCGGCCATCTCCTCGGCGTTGATGGCTGACCGCCGCGACACGCGCAGCTCGAACGCTGCCCGGCTCATCTGGAACCCGCTGTCGCCGCCCACCACCAACAGCCGGTCGGCTCCAGTGCTGGCCATGCCGCCGCCGCACATCCGCCCCGGCCCGTGTCCGACCAGGCTGGCCGCCGGGTTCCACCGCATGTTGTGCGCGTCGAACAGCCGGACGTCCGACAGAAGACCCGACTTGGAGTCGCCGCCGTACACCACGACGTGATCGCCCAGCATCGCGCTCATGTGGCCCTCGCGCGCCTGGGGTATGTCCGCGGGCGGCGTCGCATCCATCTTCTGCCAAGAGCACGACACCATGTCGAACAGATACGTGTCGTCAAAGTATCGGTCCCTGCCGTCGTCGTACCCGCCGTGCACGAGCATGTGCCGCCCGCGAACAAACTCTACTACGCAGCCGGACCGCGGCGAGGGGCGCGGCCCGCTTCCTTGCGGTCGCATCCGCACCCACTCGGAGCGCTCGGCGTGGAAGGCGTTGACAAACACCGGGTCGTAGTTGCGGCCGCCGAGGTAGCGGTACAGCGACCGCCCGCCAAACACGAGGGCCGTGGACCCGTCCGACGTGACGGTCATACCCATGCGCGCGCGCACCTCGGGGGCAGTGCCGGTGTAGCTCACGGGTGACCACGTCTTGTTGGCGACGTGGAACATATGAAGGTCGTTGCGGCGGCCTTGCGGGGACGAGCCGCCAAAGATGAGCAGGCGCGACTGGTGTGGGCCCAAGGCGACGGCGCCGTGCCCAGTGCGCGGTGCGGGAGCCACGCCCGACGCTTCAATTTGGTGCCACTTGGTCGTTTCCACGTCGTAAGAGTGGAGCGAGTTGATGCGGCGGGCTCCGGAACCCGTGGAGCCGCCAAACTTGAGGACGGTTTTGCCTTTATTGACCGTGGTCAGGGTGTAGCCCTCGACGGCGGGGCCGGGGGCGTAGCGTCTAGCGGGCATCTGGTGCCAGGCCATTTCGACAATACGGCCGCGCGGGGCGTCCTCGTCGTCGCTGGAGCTGGGCTTGCGCGAGTCTTTGTTATGGTAGTGGGGTTGGTGAGAGTTGGGGACCTGAGTGAAGGCAGCCGGGTGCAACTCAGACATGTCAAAGGTGGAGAGGGAGTTAAAGGTGTCGACCTCCAGGGACTGACGCGGTGGGTGGTGGTCGTCCTCCTCGGGAACAGGGGCCGAGTAGGAAGGGAAGGAGAGACGGGTGGCAGCTGGATGAATCCAGGTCTCCTCGCCGCTGTCCTTGGAGATGAAGACTGAGTACTTTCCGCGGTCATAGCCATTTTCCAAGGCACGAATCTCGTCTTGGCGCAGGGCCTCGGAGATGGATTCATCCGGAGGCGGGGTCCAGACGTCGACGGCATTGCGCCAATTTCTAAAATAGCGATAGCCAAAGGTGTCGACGAGACGTATCCAGCCGTGCGGAAGGTCGGTTGTCTCAGGCATCTGGGTCAAGTCGGGCAAGCAAGCGCCAAAGATGACGGGGTGTGCACCGGTGACTCCGCGGTCGGTGGTGACGCCGCCCGCCATCTGCCCCGTGGGGGGCGGGGTGTCACAGGTGATGGAGGCGTGGAGAATAATATGATCTGAAAGCTGGAGTCGGATGCGGATGGGATGGGTCGGGTAAGCGATGGCGGACCAGATTTGGTGGAGCGGTAAGTTTGCGTGGTGGACGAGAGAATCAGCCGTGAGTCGTATGCGTAGGGTGCTGTGAGCGAGTTGGTAGAGACTAGAGGAGCGCAGTTGTAAGGAAGGCAAGGAGGAGCAGGTGAGGTCTGCGGTGGTGGGGAGATCGGTGTGGCCCTCATCTGAGGCGGTGTCGGGCTCTGTGTCGGACGGGGCGGGGCTCGAGGACGAGGTGCTGATGCGGGACGAAGGGTGGTGGTGGTGGTGGTGGTGGTCATCAGCGCGGGCGCAGACGGCGCGGACGGTGGGCGCACCGACGTGCTCGACGGCGAGGGTGTAGAGCGGGAGCGGGCGGCGGTGCGGGAGGGCGGTGGCGATGCGGATGCGGGCAAAGTCGAGGGCGACGGTGGCGACCTCCTCGACGACGATGTCAAAGGAGAGGGTGTAGTTGGTGGGGGCGCCGTCGGGGGCGGTGAGGGAGTGTGTGCGGCAGACGGTGGCCGTGGCGAGGTGGAAGAGGTCGATGCGCAGGGCGCCGAGGCGGTGCGGGCGGCGCGGGGCGCAGACGGCGCGCAGCTT